GATTAGTTACAACATTACAATTGCCCTTGCTCTTCTCAGCAGGTTGATTTCCATTTCCATTAACATGCCCATGACCTTCTCCAATCTCAACAGAAGTATTGTCCTTTGAGTTGTCATCAGAAGAAACTTTCACCTTTTTGTTCCTTTTCAGTTCTCGATCTCCCAACTTGTCTTTTCTAGCAAGTTTTCTGGATTTATTCCGGGATTCGGAGGCTTTCTGGTTATCCGTAGGAAGATTTATAAGAGACAACTCAGTAGGAGTATCCTTATTTGCTTGCTTCTGTATTTCTGATACCTCCTCAAGCATTGTCTGTCGCATGGAGACCATCTTTTGTTTTTTTGACCTTACTGGGCGGTCAATCTTGTTCTTGTCATTGACCTCCCTACACATTTTTCCAGCTTTCTTACTGAACGGTTCATCACCGCCTGCATTCTTTCCCAATGAAGTAGGTGATACAGTTATCCCGTTTTCATCACCATTAATTCGACTATCAGCTCTGGTAGAGAGGACATGAACATTTTCATATGTGGGCTTGGTTACAACAACAGATGAATGTTCCTTCTTACTCCTTTTGCGAGTCTTAGCCAAAGAACTACCGTTATTCTCACATGCTTGTCCTTCATAAAATACCTCAGATCCCTTCGAAGTGACATTAATATCTGTTCCTGGATCTGTATGACTTGTAGCACACTTTCTTTTAGTGAGATTCTTTGCCTTCCTACCTCGCTTGTCAGATTCATTAGTAACAGCGTTAGTTCCAGCAGCAGGAAGATCTGGAAGAAAATCCATATTTCCAGTACTTTTTTTGTTTCTTTTAGACCTTGCACTTTTAGCAGAAAGCTCAACTGATTTCTTGTTTTGTAAGATTTCTTTTAGTTCCTTCAATAGAACTCTATCGTTTTCATCCTCTCCAACCTGCATTTCAGTTCCCTGCAGTGAAAGCTGTGATTTTTTGTGCAATATTGAAGGACTAGACAATATTAGAATTTGTAGAAGGGAGAATTACATATGAGGTGCAAAATGAGCTGATACCTGCATCTTCGGAGGACTTGGGAAGAGTTCGGGAGAGCAAGGTATTTGTGTCCATTCAAAAATCTCACTATCAAATAAATCTGCAGCATGAGCAGATGTACCGTGCACTTCCCCCTACATGAAATTATCATGATAACTTTATGGCATCATCTAAATAAATAATACACTTTTTGAATTGCCCTGATGAGTGAAATTATATAAACTTGCCAGCTTAGTAAAGAACTCTGTAGCACATATCTAAGATGAAAAACAAAAATAAACCAGCCCAATGATTTGGCATTACTGCCATATCAATTAAGCAATATTACAAATCATTTCAAAGGTATAAAACAGGTTATACACTCACCGGTTGGGTCAATCTAACAGAGTTTTCATCATCTGAGTCTTTGATATCACTGAATGCGGGAACATTTGGAGATGGAAGATCGGTAAGTTGATCACCGAAAGAAAACTGACTCAAACTTTCTACATCTTTGTCATTCAACCAAAAGAAAGGTGACAGCACCGGTTCTCCCTTTTCATTTAGAACAGGCTTCTCCTTTAGTGTTTTTGAACTCTGCTTAGCTCGATCAGCCATTAAATCACCTTCTAACTTTTGATGGCGTGTTGGGGTTTCTGAAATAGGACACTGTGGAACCTGAACCCTTTTCTTGTTTGGAAATGAAGGTTTGATTGAAATAGAACCAGAACTTTTCAGGTTGGCTTTAGCTTTCCTGGATCCTTTTCCTCTTAAGGTTTTCTGTTTCTCAGCTCTATCCTGAAACTCAGGAAGATCATGCTCGCCATGGCTAAAATCATCTTCAGCTTGCTGTTTTCCATCTTTAATAAAGCAAACCAAATGAAAACAAAAAAGTGCATTACTCAAACTATAGTACATGTAAAACCAAAAAGTAAAACACCTAGAAGTGTATCTTAACATGATAGGATATAATCAAGTGGTGCAAGTGTTGTCAATATCTTGTACTCTACTGACAACATAAATAATTCCGGACTGACATATCAAAAGTGCATGTGGACATACAATTCAACTGTAATGTTGCGCTGCATCGTATCTCCTCTGTCGTTTACGAAAATAAAAGTTAGAACAACATTTGAACACATTTTATGAACTAACAATTGCACTATGAACAGATGGAACAAAACTGAAATCCCAGTAAATAAAATGCTGGTATTGATTCTTTGATTACACTAAACGTGTATGCAAATTGCAAATGAAACTATTGCATATGCGTTGTACATAAATGATACCTGATGATTTAGTTGAGGGTGCATTCTGAGTGACAAATATATTAATTCCCGAAGCATGTTCCATGCTCTTGTAAATACTAACCAAATTATCCATGTGAGGAGCCGGGCGAACCTCTAAAACAAAAATTATCGATAAGAATATTGGATTTCACATAAAACAATCTTACTCTCTTAACAGTTCAGCACAATAATAAAAGCATCATGATTCATACCCCTACGCCGATATGGAATTTTACAAACAGGACAATTGGAACCCGATTTCATCGACTTCACAATGCAAGCGCTGTAAAGAATAACCAAACACTGGCAATAAGATCAAGCACATTCCATGTATTAACACAGCCAATTAAAACTAACATTCATATGCGAATAGCAATGAAGGAGGAGATTACTTGCAGAAGAGATGATTGCAATTGAGTGAAACCGCAGAACTCAGTAGACTCAAACTGCAAAACAGATGGGGAAAATCGAACCCATTAGCGGAGTGAAGAGAAATTTCAAATCTTTAACCGAATTCTAGACAAAATCATGTAAAGGGTCTGTTTGGCTGCCGAGAAAATTAGTGTACATTTGAATATTACTACATTTCAATACAAAAATTTAGCTGTATTCAAATGGGTCCTTTAAATTTCTCGTAAAACACAAATATACAGATATCAAAGTGCACAAACTGGGTATCGTTTATTTGGGTTTTTCCCCATAATTTTCCTACAACTTTCCCATCAAAACAAACAAATCTTAAAACAAATGTATATATATATATATATATATATACAGAGAGAGAGAGAGAGAGAGAGAGAAGAGAGAGAGAGAGAGAGGATACCAGATGGGGCACTTGAGTTCTCTGCCCATTTTCTCGAGGTGGGGCGGAGGAGTCTCCATTTTCCTTTGCTATTTGCTTTGATCAGAGAGATTGATTGAACGCAGGTGGAGATTGCTGTTTGCTTTGATCAGAGAGATTGATTGAACGCAGCGGGAGATCTCACCTTCTTTTTATATGTTGAGGAATATGAAGCTTCGTTTCGAAGCTTTGCTTTTTGAATTTTAAGCCGCCAAAATATCCCAAGCTAACACTCTTTGGCGGGTTTTCAAAATTTTCAACTTTAGGGCTTGGTTGGCTTCACGGATTTTTTTTTTTTAATACATCGTTATTTTTACACTAAGGAGAAGAGGGGTTCGCTAAATCACACAATGAACAACTTAATTTGATATCGAATTTACTATCAGCTTCACGGATTTAAATGCCTTGTTTTTATTTTTCCTTATGTCAGCGCTAGACAAAACAAAATTTATATAACTATTTGCAACATTATTTAGAACTTTTTTCTTTAGCCAAAAGAAATTTAATGGGCTTATCAAACAAAAGATTTAGCACAAACTTTGTACTAATTTGATTAGTGTACTTGAAACGCAAGCTATACACCATCTGTCATAGTATTAATAGATGTGGTGACGGATGCATGTTGGGAGGTAGGTGGTCCTAAATCATCTAGAGTTTGAGAAATATACATGTGAAGATTTTTTTAGAACCTTCAAATGTTTGGTACGGTTCCTTTTTGTGCTCACACAATGACTGAAGAAATGTCTTTCGCATGTTGCGTTGACAACACTCTTCAAACTCTCTCATTAGCACTCATCAAATTGTTTCGGCATATGTTAATATGTGTTGATATGTACGCAACTTGGGGGTGATTTGGGAGTGAGGTACTTAAAAAAAAGCACCCATGAAAAAAAAGCTGTGAGGGTTTTAGGTGTTTGGTAAACTAAAAAAAAAGGGCTTATTTTGGAAGCTGCTGTGAAAATAAGCTGAAATCAAAGGAAAAAGCTAAAGCTGCTATTTGCAGCTTTGGAAAACTGGTTTTTTTTTCAAAGCACACGGAGCTACAGTGCTCCTTTAATGAAAAGACCCACTATCAGACTGCTTTTTTTCCAAAAGCACTTTTACAAAAAAGTTTACCAAACACTCTGCTGATTTATTTCACAGCCGCTTATTCTCACAGCAGCTTTTTTTCAAAGCACAGCAATACCAAACCAGCGGCTGACAACAACAAACTCACTAAGTGTTCATCAAATTGCTTCAGTAAATAAACTGAATTGTTTTTTAGCGCTTCGCTTTTTGTTTCTATCTAAAAACTAGAACCTTTAACATGAGACCCTTTAGAGCAACTCCACCCTTGGAGCCCTCCCCCCAGACAATCCACTATTCAATCCACTATATGAACAGTAACTCCCCTAATGAACAGTAGATGCCTTTTACATCTCCACCGTTGCACTTGAATAGCCTTGGCAATAGGCAATAAAATATTATTATTATTATTTTTTTACAAAATAATACTAAATAAATTTATTTGTAATTTCGGATAAGATATTTTAAATCGTTCTTGTTACGACATGTGTCATTTACCCAAAACGACTATTATTGGTCATAGATTTCGATAAGATTTATATCCAATGTCATCATGCCAGATGTCGTTATCTTTTCAGAATCTTTGAGGATAGATTTTGATCAGATTTTAAATCGTTCTCGTTGCACCACGTGTCATTATCCGAAAAGATAATTTTCCTCACTTCGAACATTACTACTATCTTGTGTCAATGCGTCTCTCCAAATAGTAAACGATTGGCTAAGTAATTTCCAACAACTAGACATTGATTCTTTGGTTCTACTACCACCAATTTTCTCAAGATAATTGGTATGAATAAGACTCAACATTTCTCGCAACTGCATCTCATTACCCGTACGCGAACTATGAGTAACTTCAACCCAGCTAGTACACAACGCAACATCTTCAAGAGACGTCCAATTCGTACCTGCATCAATAGTCATTTTGTTGAAAAAAATTGGATTGAAACTTTGAGAGAAAGATAGGAATGTGATTGAAAATAGTTGGGAACACATGAAATTGTGGTGTAAGGTAGATGATAATAAGAAGGTATTTATAGAAAAGTAGAAACATTTTTTTTTAATTTTCAGATTTTTTACAATTTTTAATTTTTTTATTCAAATAATTAATCTCTGCCGTTGGATTTAAAAAAAATTAAATTCCAACACTCCAGATTATGCCACGTGTCACAACGGTAACTTTTCTTAATTTTAAAACTATTTTTTCTTTTTTTTTTTAAATTTATAAAGCAGATTAATATCATTCGTTGATCTCAGATCGAACGGTTAATATTAAATCAATTTTTTTTATTACCGTTTCAAATCGAACGACTCATATTAAAGAGCCGTTGAGATCGAACGGACCGTGGGAAGCCACGTGGCTTACCAACGATCACTTGCATTTCCTGGCGCGCGAGCCCCGTGCCCTGTAAACTTGTCGGCTAACGCGCCCCCACTTGCGAGTGAGGGGCACGTGCCTGACACAAAAAAAATAAAAAAAGGACCGACGCCAGGCCTGGCTTTAGCCTGACGTCACACCCACCTCGGACTGCAGGGCTGACAATCCTCCACGGACCTGGCCCTCAGGCTCCCACCTTCACTCGGGCTGCCCAACACTGGAGCCCTATCCACCAGCCCTTGGGCCCTTTCCCTTCGCCTGTCCCCCGAGCATCTTAAGATTTGAATCATGAATTCGCCACTAATTGGATGGGCAATGAATAATATATCATGTCCATTTAAACTATGACACGTACTATGCCAAATCTCGCGTAAACATGCTCATTATCGTTCGAGTTTGACAAATATGAAACAACTTGCTGCAAATGTTACCAGTAATCTCTACAAGAACAAGAACCATCTCTAAAATGGTGAAACCGACTACGATCCCTCACAACAATCTCCCGATCATAAACCTTCGATATGAGTTTAAATGCAAGATGACAATCTGCACAAACTCTCAAGTTCTTCCAAATCCTAATCGGGACCCCTGGTGCAGTATTTAGGAGCATAAAGGCAACTGCAATCTTTTCACTATGATACGACAAAGCATTTTCTTTCTCCTCCTCCTCTATGTCCGCAAGAACATTTGCCGTATGTGGCACGTACCCTTTCGGTTTCAACAATCGCGCGATCTCTGCTAGCATTGCGTATATCTCTTCACTTTGTGGATGAGATCTGTCACCCATAGTGAACTCATAAATACAATTCCTCAGCTCAACAATACTATATCCGGGAGTTTTCCTCACCCCTTCACTAAGCATTGTCCTCCTGACCTTTTGGACGTCTGACCAACGGTGTTCAGATGCATAGAGATTGGAGAGGAGCACATAATCCCCACTGTGTCCAGGCTCTAACTCGCGGATGCGTGCTCTTGCAGTCTCCCCAAGAGCCAACTGCCCGTGTATCGTGCACGCTCCTAATAAGGTCCTCCAAATAACAGCATTCGGCTTCATGGGCATGTTCATAATGTATTCATATGCTCGTTTCACTAAGCCCGCCCTGCCTAACAAATCAACCATACAACCATAATGTTCTATTCTCGGCGCAATTCCATACCCCTCTTTCATCATTCGAAAGTATTCAAAGCCTTCATCAACCATCCCACAATGGCTGCAGGCATACAATACGCCGACAAAAGTGATCTCAGTGGGCACCAATCCCTCTCCCTTCAACTCCTTGAAAAGCTCAAGTGCTTCCATACCAAACCCATTAACAGCCAACCCAACAACTAAAGCAGTCCAAGAAACCACACTCCTTTCGTCCATCACTTCAAACACCTTCTGCGCCTCTCTAATGCTTCCGCACTTTGCATAAAGATCCAGCAGCGCATTCGTAGCATGCGAATTTCCCGTCAATCCCACCTTCAACATATACACATGGATCCTCCTACCCAAAGCCAAAGTCCCAATCTCAGCACAAGCAGATAACAAGCTAACCATGGTGAACCCATCCGGCTCAACACCTTCCAAACTCATATCCCTGAAAATCGTCAGAGCCTCGTTCGGCCTCCCGTTTAAAGCAAACGCATTAATCACAGAATTCCAAGCGACAAGGTCTCTCTCAGACATTGATTCAAACACCTTGTGTGCACTCTCAACATGCCCACAACAGGCATAAACATGAAGCAATGCGTTCTTAACAAACACCAATGACTCAAACCCATTTCTTACGACAACAGAATGTATCTTCTCACCCTCTCCAACATCCATCAACTTAGCCACAGCCTTCAAAAGAAAAGGGTAAGTGTGTGTATCAGGTTGCACGGAACTTTGATGCATCTGGTGGTAAAGTTGGATGACAGGAACTGGGTTCTGACACTCAGCATAGCCTCTGATCATGGTGTTCCATGTGAACACATTGGGGTTTTTTATTTGGGAAAATATTTGGTGGGCATAGGAAACTGGAGCAGAGAGAGAGACTATGGAGAAGATGAGGTGTTTGCCCATGTCTGGGTTGCTGAGTGGTACCCCATGCCTTATGGAGAAGGCATGGATTTGCTGCAGTTTGGACTTGGAGGATGCACAGCATTGCAGGAAAGCAATGCATTTTTGGAGAAGGTGACCAATTGGGTTTTGTGGGGAAGTTTGTGAGGAGGGTGCAAAGGTAGAGAAGTGGGTTTTGAGGTTGTGAGTTAAGGAGGTTGAGAATTTATGTGCAAAAGTTGGGTGGATGAGTGTGGAATACTTTGGGAGCATTAGATCATGTTCCTGTGAGAAAAAAGGGGTTTATCTTGCTTCAATGATAGGTATAACATTCCATTTGTACCCAATGCGGTGAATATAAAGTGCGTAAGTAGAGGCCATATATCCGTTGTTTCCAAATACGTCTCTCATTTATGTCGCTTTACTATATTCTTTCGATATGTGTCATTCAAGGGCCACAGGTCTGCTGTCCTAATTCAGTGTCTTCCTCGTATCTCTTCTCTCAAATTTTGATATGTGTAAAACCATTAACTATAACTTAATTAGAGACACAAAAGAGACACTAAATTGGGGATAGCAAACCTACAGCCGTTGTGCACACCCTCGAGGGTGCATTAGGGAGAATGGAATCAATTTACTTTTTTTTTATATTTAATTTCTAATTTTTTACATGATACATATTTTTATTCAGTTTGATGAAAGGGTTAGCTGATATTTTTTAGAGTTTTGGTTGAAAAAAAATGTTCTATTAATAAGTAATTTAGATTTAAATATGGAGTTGTTCATGGGAAATAACTTTGGTAGGAATATTTGATTAGGGCAGTTCTCATATCGGATGAGGCCAGTGAGACTAATGTGGGGGTCAAATACAGGAAGTACCATCTTTGTATTCATGTTCCTCGAAACTTTTTGCTATATCAGACTTTTCTTCCCATTCTCACAACCGATCCAGTATGATTTCAAGTGAAAACAAAATACAAGAGATCATTACGTGATAGTTGTAATCACATGTCATAAAAGAACATTATATTCTCTCGTTCATACTCAATAGAATATTGATTTGGACTAAAAACCACGCCTTCATGGAGAAAACTACATGTCCACTCCACAACATTCAGGCAAAGTAAAAATATCAGAGTGCTGCGACAAAACTACATTTATCTAAACTATATGTGACTTATCATTACCAACACTTATTGGCGATGTCCATATGGAAGAAGAAGCTGTAAGTACAGGTAGGTTCGCCACGCCCCAATCTCGAGCTAATTACATAAAACGAACGAGCGATGAAGATGAAGAAAAAAAAGTCGCAGTCATCGTCGAAGTTTAGTCGAACAACTCCCATTGAGCTGTGGTTGTAGGAGGGTCAAAAGTCTCCCACTTGGTTGTCACAACAGGCTCCCATTTGGTTGTCACCACAACAGGCTTCACCTTTGCATTTGATATCTTCAGTACATCCAGACTTTCAACACATTTCTGCACCCTCTTGCCCTGGAAAAAGCAACTTCTAAATTAAAATTCCTTTTTGGTTAAGGCCTTTTTAATTGACAAAGACTATATATATTGGAAAGGCATCCTCTCCAGATGCCTTCCACCTAATCCTCCTCATCAAACAATCCGGACATTTGAAATTTGATCCAACGGCTACAAACAATGGCCTACTCTAAAGTTATAATAACTTTAGTCGTTGGATTAAATTTCAAGAGTCCGAATTATTTGATGAGGAGGATTTGGTGGACCCTTTCCATATATATTTAAACTACTGCAACACGTCAGCATACTGCTCCGCCCAATTAATAGACCTAACCAACATATGCAGCTGAAGCCTTGAATTAACGACCACTGAAGACATATTATTACCTGCAGATTCTTCTGAGCAGAAGCATCTCCTTCTGCAGAAATGTTGTCCAGCTTGATTGCTAGTCTCATGAGCATCTCAATTAGTGTAGTTATCTGAAGTTCTGGTACTTTGACTCCATTTGAGATGGATTTTTCAATTGCAGAGACCTGTTGAAGGCGAAAATATAATATTTAATATTCATTTTGTTAATTATCTAGTAATTTATCATAGTTAAACGTATGCATGCATGATTGGTGACGAAAAGAAGAAGGAGATAGGTACGTAGGTGATGGCTTAAAAGGACCTTGCATTACGCCATAAACTATTGAGATTCCCTAAAGTTGCACTACAAAAATTTTATGATGCTCCAGGGTATAGAATACTTCGAAATTCAACTGTCAGATTTTGATTTTTGTGTTTTTGACTAAAGATCTAACAATTAAAGGTCTGGAGTATCCGATACTTCGAAACACTATGAAATATCCATCATATGAATCCTTAGAGAGACGCAATTTAAGAAAAACTTCTGAATTCCGTTTGAGACAACTAATCGACCAGTAGTCACAAAATGGAATCCTATTCTGGGTTTGGTGCAATATGAATGTACACCATGCTATTTCTGGTAAAAGAGTAACCTGTAAGGTTCAGGCAGACATACCCCGATACAATGGACAGTTCAACTGATTTATAATTATATAACTAAGAGTGGGAGATGCACATCAAAGTCAAAACTTTATACTTGTAAGAAGCTTCAACACCAAACCAATCTGAAGCTTGTAATGTGATACAAACTTCCAAACCATATTTACCAATTTAATTACATGATTCAACAACCGCACCAACCAACCAGTGGTTCACTCACAAATTTCAACTGGGCATTCACCAAATCACCGCTTAATGACTCTATCGTGTTTTTCAAATCTCCGCTTAATGGAGAGAAACTTATATGTAACTGTGAGGTCCGACATACTAATATGATGATATTTTAAGTTTATCATGAGTATTCGTAACTTTTAATTTTCTCACATGTTATTCCATCAATAATTAAAAATACCACCACATTAATGTGTTAGTTGCATATAAGCTTGCTCTACAAAGCAAGTTATGTTTAGAGAAATACTAATAAAACTCTCTCAAAATAGAACTTTGCCGCTTTATGTTTTTAGCATAATATTTTATAATATTGACATAAAAATTAACGTTAAACTGTAAGATTACAGAGAATCCATAAAAAACCTTAATTAATAAAAGTCCTCTTAACATTTATCTTTTGTTTAAATGACCTCTCTTTTCATTTTAATCAATCTTAGGGACCCCACTAAACCCCAACTTAATGGTCAAGATTCAACACCCAAACCCAGCTGTCTCACCCACTTTTGACTGAATCATCACACTTCCAATCTAACGGCTGACCTTACTCCACACTCTTTTGTCCCACCAAAAAAACACACAATACAAAAACAAAGTGAACAGTGATCAAGTGTCGAAGTGGAAGTTTGGGTTTTTGCTCACCTGCTCCGCGAGCTTGTCAACCTCCCTGGACACGTCCAGTATGGCGCGATGTGCGGCCTGGATCTTGGCATTCCTACGCATCTCAACGGCCCTCCTCGCGATGCTCGCTGGGTCCTCCACCAGTACGACTTTTGACCGGTCTTTGACTCCGCACATGTCCAAGTACTCGCCGTTTTCTCGCTCTTTTCCTCTGAATAACAGCCTCTGCTCGCCAGGCTGTAACCCTGTCTCTGCCGTAAGAACCTTCTTCAACTCCCCTGTAGAGTTTGGTTCAGTCAATTCCCACGTCAATTTACCACTTTACCCTCACAGTTCGCCACCACCCCTCCGCCAACAACGTTGCACGTGGAGTAATCTAACATTTTTCTTCTTTAAATTATAATGCTGGATGTTATTGTGACGGTATTCTAAAGTCAATCGAACGGTTTTATGCTTAGAAAGTTCAAAGCATGACAATTAGCTTGGAATACAATCACAGCGATGCTCCGCCAACGTGATTGCATGTAATCAACTTTGCTCTCCAAATTATTCATAGAATGATCCATTGCATTACAAGTCAACCACACACAATTATATGTTGACAAATTAAAAGCATGACATTGAGTAATTAACTTGGAATACGATCAAAGTAACATAAGCTTTAGTGATCATCAGTAGTGTGTTTGGTTAGCGAGAAAATGCTATGATAATTCTTAATTTTACCCCCATTTTCTTGGAAGCCAAACAGAAAGCAAAATAAATAAATAAATAAAAGAATACGAAACGGTAAATCAATATCATTTTTACCGAATGTGGACTGAGCACTGGCCGAGATCTCGTAACGGAGAGCACCGAAAGCAATCCGAAGCCGCAAATTCGGAGCCGGAGCGTCCGATTTCTCACCTCTCTTCTGCACCAGCATTCCTCCGGGCCTCATTTCCCACGCAACTTCCTCGTCGACCGACGTCGTACTGTTGGCGCTATCCCGCGCTCTGCCGTTTGCATTGGACCTCCGCTTCATCATTTTTTGGTTTGGGAAATTCGGATGAAATTTTCCGGGAAAATCTCAGACGGCGCGGGGTTTTGATCGGGAAAATATCTCTCGACGGCTCGAATTAATGCGCTGTTTTCTGCCGACACGAACAGGGTGTCGTATGTGTGGGGGTTTATATAGTGTGGTTTTTGGTTCGAACACATGACGGGAAGGATTTGGATCCCATGGGGGGATTGCTTTGCGAATGGGAAAGTGACACGTGTCGGGGTGCGTCAGGGTTGTGTGGAGTGACAGTTAAGCAGTGAGAGAACTTTGCCGACAGTCGAAGGAATGATCCACGATAAGTGAAAACAAGTTGTCCAGTTTTATCTTTTACCGTTGACACGTGGACGGAAGTAATTGGGTTTCACTGTGATGGGTCCACCTTGGTTTCGTTTTCTTTGGAGGAAAAGGTTGGCACGTGAAGTTATGTGGGACCTAGAAACTGACGCGTGTGAGTTTCGGATGGTGAATTGTGGATGAGGGAGGATCAGAACCGTAGGATGGAGTTGGAAGTTGTTTGATCCAAAGGTAGAACAAATGTTTTAAGTTTCAAATATGCCATAGATTGTTGCTTAGAGTTGTGCTAATTTGTATTATGAAGGGACAATTAAGGGTTAACAACTTATCAGTGAGGTTAAAACCGAAGTGATTATGCCTCCAAATGTTTCTTTGTGACTTTATGTGAGGGAGGGTGGTCGGTACATGGCTGAAAACTCCATACAATTGTGGTAGTGTTGGAGCGGAAAAATTCAGTCACTTTAATCCTCCATCAACAAGTGATAGACATTATTTTCATTTGCTATCAATGAGGGAAGAGGGAGACATGTAATAAAACACTCAAATGCTAAGTCAATGTTTGTTCAGGATGCTTGTAAAATATAGAACAATCTCTTTCTTTTCTCTTTTCCCTTTCCCCATTTGGGTGGTATTCTAGGCCTTTTATAGGCATAAAAGGCTTGAGCTCCAAGTCCCAGTATCTCACTCCATGTTCCTTAGCAGTGGC